GCCGCTCTGCTCGGGTGGGCGGGGCCGGCCCCGTGGACGCCGCTGGGAGCCTGCTCTGCTCAGGTGCGGCTTGCTCAGCTGCAAGGTTACATCTGTGCTTGCTCCTTTCCATGAAGGGGGTGGTAAGGGGCACGCTGACGTGCGGAGGTGTCTGTCATACCGCTGCCCAGCACATCTGCTCACTCCTCCTCACGGCCTTTACCACGCAGGGTTCACACAGGGTCACACAAGGGTCACTGATTCATCAGGGTGGAAAGTGAGGCCCTGGAGAGGGTGAAATCCCCTCCCCAAGTATGGCGACTGTGAACCAAGGTAGGAATTGAAATTGCCCTGTCCACACCAGCAGGCAGACACTTCACGCTCAGCCCAGGTTCTTCCTCCCCATGGATACTGAGCCAGCCCCTTCTCTGCTGGGCAGCTCGCTCATCTGTTTCTGCTGAGCCATCAGATCCCCCCTTCCCCGCCCCCTCACCCATTCCCCCACCCCTTACCTTTGCCTTGCTGTTCCTGTTCCTTCTGACTCACGTCCCCCCTTGTCTCCCCCTTATGCCCCAGCGGCCTTTCCATCACCCCTTATCGAGGCAGGGTTGCTGGGAGCCATCTTCTGCTGCCCTTCCCTCCCCCCACCAGCACACTGCATAAACAAATACCTGCATTTACATAAAATATTACCTAGGTTGACATCAGGCTCCCCAGTGTCATGGACAGACCTAAGGATGGGGAGCTTTTGGTAAGCGACTCCCCACTCTCAGAAGAAAGCGCCCTGTGGGGTGAGAAAAGCGGGGACCCTCTCCTCTGGGGAGGTATGTTCTTTGTAACTCAGCTAGACTGAAAAAAAGAGCCTCTCTCCCAGACACTACTGCTTCATGACAGTCACCTGGAGTGACATGTTTAGGTGACACTCATAGGCATCAGATGCAGAGGCGACCTACATGACTTGTATAGGTGACAGGTGTGCCAGTGACAGGCTCAGGTGACAGCTTTGCAAAGAAACGGGCTCGGGGGATGTGTGTCACTGGCAGCCACCCAGGCGATGCAAGCCGCTAACAGCAACATGGCTGACATACAGGTGGGAATGTGCAGGTAACCGCACACGGTGACACATGCAGATGTGCTCAAGTGATGGCGACACAGGTGACATGTTTGGGTAATCACTGTGTTGTGACACTTGCAGGTGACAGGAACACAAGAAATATATTTGGGTGACACAGCACAGGTGGTACAGAAAACAGCCCGGGGACACCTGGGTGGGAGCTCGGGAAGGAGGCAGCCCCTACTCAGGGCTGTTTGACAGCCTCAGCGAGCCTTCTACGGGCTGCCTGGCTCCCGGCACGGTGCTGCCTGCTGTGACTGGCCCACCCACACCCCTGAGCACCAGCCTTGATCTCACCTGTTTCTAGACTCCTCAGGGCAGCTGTGAGCGGGTCCTGCATGCTCTTCCTCCTGAAGAAGTCCCGCCCTACGCACTTCCCTCCAATCCACTGTCAGTACATTTTCCCACGTGGAACAGGGAGGTAGATATTCCTGTCCCTGCTCAGCCTGACCTTATTCTCCAGGTAGCACTTGGGTCTTATTAAAAGTGGATGGATTCGTGGAACTCCCCTCCTTACAGCCCCCCAAGGACTCTGCTCTTGAGCTAGCGCCCAGCATCTTCCTCCGCCCACCCTCCAGCCACATCTCAGTTTCCTTTCCCTGAAACAAAGGCGTTCTTTGTTTTCCTCCTATTGCCAAGTTGCTTAAAAAAACAAAACAAACAAACAAAAAAAACTTTGATTTTGGAATCCTTTTAGAACTACATAAAAGTTGCACAGAAGGCAGAGAGCCCCCCCACCTCGTTTCTCTCCTTGTCAACATCGCTCTCCCCTGCCTCTGGGACAGCCTGCAGAAAAGGAACAAACACGGACACCTCACTGTCCACTCCAGACTTTATCTGATGGTCCGGGTTCAGCATGAATGTCCTGTTTCTGTCCCAGGCTCACCCGGGCTCCCTTTTTAAGACTGAGCACCTTTGCCGACACTATCTCTTTTTCTTGGGGACATTGCATTTGCTTCCCTAGATTGCATCCTTCAAGCTACAAGAAATGGCCCTTTCCTGGGGCATGGCCACCAGCTGCCTGGATGAGGTGGGTGTGGCAGTGGGATAGTTCTGACAAGCCAGATTAATGAGTCCTGCCTGCTGCCCACAGGTGCAGTCTGTTCCCCATTCTCACCCTTGGGATTTTTTTTTTTTTTTTTTTTTGATGAACAGCACGTGGTGAAGTGATAGGGCGCAAGTTCTAAGCCTCAAAGATCCTTTCCTCTTGCTTCCCACTGGCTTCTGGCCTGCAAACCAGCCTCTGATGGAGGAGGAGCGCACATGGAGGGAAGTCCTGGTCAGTCCTCCAGAGTGAGCCCATCCAGCCCCTGGACTCAAGAGCAAGTTGCCTTAAACAGCCCAGGGTGGGGGCATTGCCTCTACAGCAGAGGCTGAGAACGCCAGGCCTCATGGTGCTAGGGCTCGTCTGAGTTGTAGCTTGGTGACTTAAGGCTGTGTCTCTGGAATGTCCTCTTCCTCCATGCACAGTGGCCCCGATGGGCAGGCGTGCCTCTCTCTGGTCTACCAGCAGGCCCAAGGACATGCACCGAACTTGCCATCATGGCAGGCACAGTCAGTGTCTCTTTAGCAGTGGGCAGGAGCCCTTACGTGAGGCTGGACACCAGGGCAGCCCTCCCTGCCTGCGGCAGAGTCCAGATGTCCGCAGACCCAACAGCTTGCAGGTCATGCCTTTGACTTTAAATGGACCTGCCCCTCAATGCCTCACCAGAACTGTGTCTTGGGCGTCACGTCATCCTTCCAAAGTGGGTTGAGGCCTGGAGACCGCCCCCCCACCCCCAATTTGAGCGGCATTGATTTGCATGCCGGTTAGAAGTCCTTCTGCAGACAGCAGGCCCCTGAGCGGGCTGGGAGTGAGGAGCCCTCTTCTCATCAGCTATGGGCTGCGATCGATAAACTATTAATAACTGCACGGGTTTCTGGCGAGACCAGTGTAATGCAGGTTAGCGGCTGGAGTTTACCAACACCGAGAGTGGGGCTAAGGGTGAGTGAGCATATTCAAAGAGCTGGGCGCAGGGAGAGTGTCCTTGTGGCCCCTGGGGCTCTGCCCGGGTGATGCTGCGCACGGGTTAGTCACTGTGGCTTCTGCCAGCCCCGGGCCAGGACTGTAGGCTGGCCACGTTCAGCCCAGGGGTTCTGACAACTGGGTGCCATTCCCTCCCTGTGCTGAGCCTGAGGTGGGGAAGGAGAAGACAGAGAGAGGGATTTGCTTCTGCCTCTGTGTCTCAGTCCAAGCCATCACCACTGCTTGGACCTCTCTCTTCTCTCATCCACATGGCAAGCCTCTAGCTATCGTTCAAAGCCCTGCAGATTGGCAG